GCAGATGAGGTCTGAAGGAAAGATCTTGCAGCACTTCCAAGCCAGAAAGAAGGTCACAGTTGAGCAGATGGTGAAAGAGAAGGAGCAATCCAGGAAAATTAAGGAATCTGGAAAGAGCATTCTTCTCTCAAAATATTTAGGGGAAGGAAGGCAATTTTTGTTATTGCACATTTAAGAGGACCATCTTTGGAAGAGTGTGCACATTTGCTATGGTCTTCAGACAAAAGCTCTTCCTTGGCAGCAAGACAGAATCTATTCATTTAGGTAAGTTTAACACAGCCAAAAATATACCAGACAATGAATGCTAGCATGCTTTAATCCCAGTGCTCTAAGATCCCAGAAATCCTAGCTTCAATATTCTGCATTATGCTGCCTTCATTTTGGGGCACTCAGAGCCCCTCATTAAGTAGGTGCTCTGTCAAACCTTGCTGCTGGAGTGTAAATCATGACTTGTCTGCTCTGTCTTTCTTACAGAGGCTGCTGCTGCCACAGCAAAGCCAGCACAAGGGAAAATGTTCCCCAACTGCAGGTGTTCTAGTGCACAGGCCAGTCTTTTGACACTTCCAGCAATACACTTTGGTAAATAATGCTGTGCTGGTGTAAAGTGTTACCATGTGGATGTATTCCTCCTGATGAGAGAATATGGCAAACAGGAATGCATGCCCACACCCCTTTACCCCAGGGCAAAGCTACTGCCCTTCGCTCTGCCAGTGTGGTGGCTTTGAGCTGAAATGCCAGACACCAACCTGAGCAGCTGAGTGGTGACCTGGTCACTTTTGAAGGCTGTGTTAGGCCATCCTCATGATGGGGGTGACGATGCTCTAAGTGACCATGGAAAGACTTGCAGGGCTCATCTGTCAGTCTTAAGAGTGAACCTACCTCCACCTGCACTGTAAATAAATTGAAGGGCTTTGCACTCCAGTAAGTGAGATGTAGACCCTCGTTCCCTTCCATCAATGTTCTACCACAGCACAATTCCCCAGAGCTTGCTGCTTGGACTGAACTAACCAAGCAGAAAATCTCTTCATTTTCCTTATTGAAAGAGAGAAAAATAGTTAAGCAATAAAATGTTGCAAGGATGTGTTTGGGAGCGTGTGTTGTAATGCCCTGGAGAAGAAGGCAGAATTAGCTAACATTGCTAATGACACTTGGTGGCTGTGGCTATCAAGTCCAACAGAAATTATTCTAAGAACCTACAGATAAGATCAGAGGCAGTCTGCAGATGAAGAGCCCAGCAGCTATTGAAAATGAACCTGTATAAACACAGGTATAAACAGAGACACAACTGTCTGCATTAAATAGTGGTAAATTTGAACGAATGACAGGAACTCAGAAAAGAGTCTACCCCTCTTATTTATCACAAAGGTCACAAAATCAGAACAGTTCAAAAATTAACAAGTACTTTACGTGCAGTTACTCCTGCTAATGTAAGAGACTAGTCCTACTTTACAGACTTTAAATGAATTCTGCAAAATGAGTAAGAGGGTTTATTGATCATCCTACATACAAGATCGTGCAATAGATCAAGAACTTCACAGCCCTTTTTACACCTTTTATTTCAACATGATATTGTGGTCATTGAGAGCATCGAGAGAAGAATGTTTTAACTCAAGTAAAAAATTACATGCTTCCACACATGCTAAAATGCAAAAACAAAAAAATAAGTTGCTGAAAGTTTTTTTAAAAAGATTAAACTATTTTGAAATACCACCTAATTATGTCACCAATAGGTTGCCTTCTTATTGATTTGAGGCCCTTTTGTTTTGAAGAGAGACAGAATTTCAAGTTATGCTATTTTCCTGTAAGACTCCCACCTTGTTCAGCACACATGAAGTGCTGGCTGGCTAAGCAGTTGTTCAATGCTTTGTAAAGTCTTCACAGCTCAAACTACCTCTGTAGCTTGTTTCTTTCATGTTATTTTTTGAATTCACTGATAGTCCACTCATGGGCTTGTCTAACATGACCAGATTACCTAAGTGTCCATCTGAATTCTTTGCAAACAAGAATGAATTTACTTCACAGCAGCCCATTTGGCAAACGGTGTATTTTTATTCCTTCTACTTTATACAATGGGAAATTGAGGTATGGAAAGATTCATATCAAGTATCTCCAATAAATCTGACTACTCAGAGTCATATAATATTTTTTTTCAGAGACTGCTTAAAATATAGGTTGCCACATTGATTTCACCTGGTTTTGGAAAAGCTCTGCATTCCTGCAAATCAGACTGTGGTTCTCAAGACAGAGACCTCAAAATAGGGAACATGAAAATGCATGATTGCTTTTGAAAAATCTATTTTAAATGACTGGCTTCTTGTCAGACAGGAAATATGCAGAGGCATGAAAAACACCCCTGGTTCATCAGGGTGGCATTCAACTGTCTGCATATGAATCTCCTTTTTTATTCCGGTTTCTAGCACTAGTCATTATGCTTTTTCCACTTTCTTCAATAAACAAGACAAGGTTCCTTCAGATAATGACATCTTTAGAAAAACAGCTCATCCACAGAATGGAGTCCAACAGAAAGCAATATAGTTTTAACTAAAGGCCAGAATATAAAAAGTGAAATGTAAGAATGTCAAATTGCAAGGGCAACCACCAGAAATTCATGAGGGTTTAACAAGGAAGCAAAGAAAGGAATCTGCTCAATAAAATAAAAATCTTAAAATAATGCTCAGCTCCAGGGCTGAAATACAATACCCTGTCAATTCACCTAAAATAGAAACCAATAAACCCAGCCCAGAAGCTTATACTTTCCTTTATGGAGAAGTGTGGGAAGGGATTAGGATATACTTGTTGCAAGTAGATTCTGTGGGTATTTCTTGAGACCCAGAACAGTTAAAAAAAAAAAAAATTCTGTTCCATTCCAGATCAGCACATGCTCTAACAAGCTGTTTTAAGAAGCAGGGAACACAGGTTCACCAGAGGACTGAGGGAAGTTCTCTGCAAAACAACTCTTTTTAGGAAAGAGAAAGGCTGCACCTGAAACAGGAACATTTCTAACCAAGAAGTTCAGTTTTCTCTATTGCTTTATCATAAAATCTGCCTTTTTTTTCCTGTTAAGCAATTACTCTTCTTGAAAAAAATGTGATTACTTTTACTTTCTTCTTTCTCACAGTGCAGAATAGCCACTACTAATTCATCCTTGGCTGGAGCAAGGTTTTCATCAAAATCATCCTTGGCTGGAGCAAAGTTTTCATCAAAATCATCACTGCCTCCACAATATCTACACGAGCACTTATTATATGTTCAAACGTGCTTGTAAATAAGCACATAAGCAGGATTACACAATTTGTATGCAAAGATGTGGGTTTCCAAGGGCAGCATTTTACCATGACAACATTACAGGTCAAATGTGCCTTCAAACGTGCACACATGTTCACTAATTTGTACCTTAATGAAGAATAGAAATGAGTGTTTACTTCAGAAAACATCTGAACCTGGCAGTACCACTTAATGAACAGCTCTAGAAACTGTGGTATGTTTTGCATTTACAATTTTATTGTGGTAACACTCAAAAAAACAACATGTGTACTTGCCTTTCCTAGAAATTCCCCACACACCAGGCTTCCCTCTGTAACTCTTGAATGTCGTATTTCTGTGTTTTCACCATGCTCACACATGATGCCAGATCATCTAATGTGAGCATTTAATAAAATATCCTGCCATATTTCACCTTCTATTTCGTATTACATTGAAGGTCCACCATGAGTCGTTATCCCTTTCTTGAGTGTTTATCCTTCAATCAGTCTGTATCATGACATGATATATCCGGACTGAAAGTTTAGAATAATTTTTCAGATCAAATTACTTGGAATGGGGTGAATGGGAACAACCACATTTACCTGAGCAAGAATTTGACCAGTATGCTCTGACAAACACTACTATTTAAAAATGTGTTGGATTTATACTTCCCATACCTTCAAATATATTAAACATAATGATACTACTCTGTCAAAAAACCCACAAAACCCAAACAACAGAACCATGTCCCATCAGATTAAACACCTCAACACGAACAGCAACTGCTCTATGTGTCCTGCCAAACGAAACAAAAGCACGAGGTCAGTTTGAAAGTCCTGCATGCTCCTTCTGCTTAACTTCTACTTTAAGCCCTGGCACAGTTTAGGGTACAGCCAGCATGAGGGACCATTCTTTCAGAAGTTGTGATCACCTTCCCACCACCCTCTAGGGTTGGCCAGGGCCACCTCAACAGGATATTCCATACCCCAGCGCATGTGGAGCTATGGAGCTACGCTGACTTTCACGCTGTAAAAAGCACTCTGGCAGGCTGACATGCAGCCTCTGAAAGGTTTGGAACTGGAAAAAAAGGAAAACAAACCCACACATAAAACAACTTAAACAACAAACAACAAGGTCGTGATCTGGGGGTGACAACACTGGAGGTGCCTGTTGCCCCTGCCCAAGGCTCCAGCACCGAGGCTGTGGCTGTGTGTGTGTATATGTTTGTATATGTATATATATATGTATATATATATGTATATATATGTGTATGTATATATTTATTTATATGTCTATAGACATATAGACACAAATATACACAATAATGTATGTATAAATGTGTGTATGTGTTTATGTATGTGTGTATACACATATATACACACATATATTACACATACCTATATATGCAGACGTTTATGTATATATATGTGTGTATACATATATATATGTATATATACAGAAACTATTTTTTTAAAACTACATTTAATTTCATCATTTCATTTCAGACTCCGAAGCTGACGTAACGGGGGCTGCAGGAGCCTCCCTCGGGCCCGCAGGACTTCCCCCGGCTCGCAGTGCCCCCGCCGGCCGCTTAGCGCCGGGACACCCGCGCGGGCCGCCGCCATCCGCCCGCAGCGGCGCCGCTCCCCGCCCCTCGGCCGCGTACCGGCCCCGGCTCGCTGCGGCCGCGTCTCTCCCGGAGCACCGGGCCCTGCCCCGCGTCGGGAAGGTGCTCCCGATAAAAAAAGGGGAATTACCAGGAGTGGGGTTCGAACCCACGCGGACATGCGTCCATTGGATCTTAAGTCCAACGCCTTAACCACTCGGCCATCCTGGTGCAGATACCGGGACGGCTCGCAGTCGTTCCTACATTCATGGCCGCACTCCCAACCGCCCCCCGGGCCGTCCGCGACCCTCGGGGGTGCCCCCTCGCACCCCCTGCCGCCGCCGCTCCCTCCCGCCCGCCTGTATTCCCAGCGCGGCGGGCGCCGAGCGCACGGGGCGAGGCGCGCGGGCGGCCTCTCCCGGCGGCGGGAGGCGGACGGGCAAGGCCCGGCGGCGGGAGCGCTGCCACGGACCAGGACCAAGACCGAGCCGGGCCGAGCCGGGCCGAGCCGGACCGAGCGGGCCCGCTGCCGCCTCCTTCCCTCCGCCCGGCGCCGGGCCCGTAGCGGAAGGGGAGGCGGGGGAGGTGCGCGGCGCTGGCACGGGCCCGCCCCTGGGGCAGAGCAGGGCGGGCGGCGCTGAGCCGGGGGCGGCGGGCAGTGCGGGTCTGGGCAGAGCGGGCTCATCCCCCTCAGAGCGGGCAGGGCCGCGGGCATGAGAGGCAGTGGAGAGGTTGTGCCAATAAGGCACCGACACTTCATTATTTCCGTCCAAGTGTTTCCTGGAATGTATCTTCTCTCTCTCGTAGAAGGAGAACCAAAACCAACGAAGCTCAAAGCTATCAATTATGTTTCATTAGGAGGAACATTATCGCAGGGGAAAGATTTTTTTGCTGGTCGTCACTATATGCCGTGTCTACGGAAGTACCTATCGCAATATTCCGCGTTACTGCCTGCCCTGGGACCTCCCCCTTCTTCCCTGCGTCAGAGGGGAAATGGGGAAGTGTCGCTCCGCTGACTGTACCCCGGGCACTGGCTCCCACTCGCTGCTATTTTCCAGCGGAGGATATGGACATCCTGCATGGCACCAAACTTTGGCACCTTTGAGGTGTGAGGACCATATTCCACACAGCACAGGCTGAGGACACGGGCCTGTGCCAGCGTCCAGCTCACGAGGAGGCAGGCGGAGGCCGTCTGCTTGTCCACAAGGAGAACAGGAGCACACCTCCTGCTCGGGTGTTGGACACCCTGGATGTCCCTGTCCCCCTGCAAGGGGTCTGGGGCTCGAATTTGCAGGTGCAGGTGGCGCCTGAGCTCCTCAGCTCTTAGTGCTCAGAGACCCTCGGGACACTAGGCATGCTTGTGAGGGAAAATACTTCCCACGTACCATACATGTTATTCACACCCGGGAGCTCATGAATAAAAGAACAGCTCTTCCAATGGAACTTGCCATGCCGTATCATTGCCTCGAAATGAGTGGCATGCCGTAGTTCTCTGCTCAGTAGGGTTGTGCCTTTCAGCAAAATATTGAGTAGAGAAACACTGTCAGTTAGGTTTTTTACTTTTCTGTTCAGATCTAACACCATTTCTAAGAAACACAGCAAAATGTTGCTTTTTCTTGTGCAGACTTGGTGCCCTGACAATGTGTGCACAGTAGGGCATGGTGAAACTGTCTTCTGCTGGCTCTTACTTGCTTTGGCTCAACCATAATGAAGACACTACATAATATGCTAAAAACGTGGAAGAAGATGGATCTGCTGTTGCCTTCTTACATATCAGAGAAACAAACAGCATGACTCCCTGTGAAAATGCCATTGCATTGGAAATTTATTAACCAGAATCACCACATACAGTATCTATTATATTACACTGTTTCCTGCCTTCATTATGTCTGTGATACCTTCCTAGAGATAGAACCACAACCCCATGGAGCTCTTTCCTTTTTCAAATCAATTTAAATAGCTACCATGTTCAAAAATCTAGAGAACATGTTTTGTTTTCAAGAAATAATAAAAAATACAACTTGGGCTGTGCATTCAAAACATCTTTAATACAGGTTAGATTAAAAAAGCAGCAGTTTAGCATAGCTACTCAGTACAGCTTCCAGAAAAAAAAAATCTGGTTCTTAAGAGCTATTTCTTTACTTCAAGAAGATTCTCCCAAGACACGTGGCAGAGATACCTGCTCATGTGTGCAAGTGTGAAGTGTGTCCACAGTCTGGTCCTTCATTTTGAGGAAGCAATTGTCCCACTGCCATTTCTGTAAAATGAAACCCATGATTCAAAAAAAAAAAGTCCCTCAAGATGAAATAGAAACCCGTATCCATATCCATTACATGCTAAACATCGTATTTTGTAATAGGGGAATTTTTTTTTCTCTTTTATATCTATGCTGTGCTGTCTCACATATTTTAGAAGTAGCAAAGTGTCCCTGGTTGCCAGTTCCTCTTTGTCCTCCTCAGAAAGGACTGGTTGGTGACTGATTGGTGGCGTGGGTTGTGAAGCTTCAGCTTCAGTAGGAAACAAAACCAAAGTAACGGCAATCCTGCAAGCTAAAACATGCCCTGTCAGATTTTAACTTCTTTATTCCACAAACCCAGTTTAAGTGTTTGCCATATGAGGGAAGAGGAGAAAAAAAAAAACCAACCTACCAACCTATAGAATGTGCTACACACATCTGCATAGGAGTTGTGCTGACTTTCAGAAGGAGGAGGCAGCTTTCCTCAGAAAATGTCCATTCTGCAGCTTCTGTTATTAGTATGCTAACATATTATCAAGCAACTTTTATCATCTTCTTCCACTCATCCTGTGTGGCATGAGTCCTTGCAGCTATAGTGTGATCAGTTTTTTTTTTTTTTCAAAAGTCTGTTCAACTGTGATTAGGCAAGTCCATGGGCTGGCTAAATTTGAGTTCTTACATAACTGAAGGGTAGAAAAAAACCCCAAAGTATTAAGCAATGGATGTGTTTGCAAGGAAGAGAATGATGGAATGATTGCTTCAGCTACTGAAAGTCATTTTTAAGTGTCTCATAACTCACAGTGCATATTAAAAATAGTTTTAAAAGGTATCAGTTTGGTTTTTGACTAATTCTCATTTTTTTCCCTACAGCAACAGCCCTAAATCAGGAGAGAAGGTCTACAATTACCTTTTCTTTCCATTCTCTTTCCCTGTGCCTCAAATCAAACTAAAGATTTGAATTCTAGTTTTGCATATCTACTAGTGAAATCATCAAGGTCTCTCAAAACTGCCAGCATAATTTTGATTGTTTTTTTAACTTGAGAATCATCTTAGAATGCATGAAACTCATTTTTCTTTGGATTTTTAGAGAAAAAACAACAGTCTATCTCAATATGCAACACATTTCATTTATCAATGCAACAAAAATTGGGATGCCTTTTTTTCCTAGGCCTTGTTTAATCTCCTCTCACTGATTCATAATTTAGTCCAGCAACTTTTAAACTGAACTTTGACAATGCAAAACGTTATTCAGAGCTGCAGATTCAATGCACAACACTCTGCACTTTCAATTTTTTCTTATTAAATCTTTTATTCCATTTGTAGATGCAAAAAAGGAACCAGCATAAAAAAAACATGTACATAATTTTAATCAAAAACATAGGCAAGTGCTAGGAATGTGCATGTGAAAGGAAATACAGTATTTCATTCTTCATTGATTTATCCTCACATGCTGACTCTTGGAGGAATGCACAGTTCCACTGACTTAATGGCAGTACCTACAGAGTAAAAAACTTTGTCTTCTTGAGTAGCACCAAGCCCCTGGCTGTGGTCCCAGCTCATCACCCTCCTTTCTCCCACTTCAAGTTTGAACACCTTACTGGAGACGTCCTCAGACAAGCATAACACTGATATCACCAGTACACCACTGAATATCAAAATATCTTATAGTTAGGAGATCAGTGTTCCTCACTCTTCCATGTGCTACAGCAAAAGGGACAGTCTCTTTCTGAGAAAAGTTATCCCTTTAGTTTCTGTTTCTGTAAAAAAGTCTGTCTGGCTAAAATTGTTTCCCAGTAAGATATGAAAGCTTGGAAGTGGATTTATTTTGCTGTTTTGTTATATTACTAAAAATAGTAAGAAATGTTTGGGTTTTTTCTTCCCACATAAAATCAGGGTGTAAAAGGTAAGAAGGGAGAAGTTTCACTGCAACTGGTGCAGGAAGGTGTACATCTATGCACATCTGAGGAAAACTCCCAAATACAAAAGATCTGAAATGTTGAAATATATTTACTAAAATTGGTACAAATAGGACGATTAATTAAAAAAAAATCTGAAAAAATGTCCTGCATTATTTCAAAGGATAGCAATAGATCACAGTGTATCAGGAAGCCACCTAGAAATATAGTTGGAAAACCTCCAGAAGCAGGAGCTGTGATCAATCACCAGACTCTATGAATATGTTCCACTGACGATGCTCAGTGCTTACCAGGACTGCACATTTTTTATTTCCTTGCAATACTCCAAACCTACTGGTTTGCCCTTGTGTAAGGGCAGACTCCCACAAAAGGAGACTTTCCTTTTAAGCTTGAAAAGAGCATTGAAATGGCATGAAACTGTTTCCTTTTTTCTTCAGGTATACCGAAGAAATAGTTCTGTTTGCTTTCCTGAGACCCTAAAATGTTTCCTCAACCCCACAGATGTTGTCTTCTTAAAGGTGTTTCTGCAGAAGGCCACTCCATGTTTCTCCTCTGGATGAAGTGTTAATTGGCAGAAAAAAGCATCAGAACATGAAAGCATGGCAGGTTTGAAACTGAGAGTCGAGAGTGGCTTAAGCTAAAAGTGAGTGAGATGCCTCAGTGTTGCAGTGCTTTTAGCCACCTTGAGATAGCTGGGTACTCAGAATGGAAAAAAGCAGTCACACAAATAGAGCAAAATGTGCATATTATCATTTGAGGTGCAGCCACTTCTGTTAAGATTCCAGACAGCTGAAAATAAAGTTGAAAGAGAAACTAGTTCTGTGTCCTGCTCCTGCTCCAGGCTCAGTATTTTGTCAAATTTGTATCAAGCATGCTCCAAACTAGTTAAAACTGAAACCTCCTGATTCTGTGGTGTACTGTGTTGCCCCAGGCAATAAGGCTTCACTGCCTGCAGCCTCACTTCAACAAATAAGAATAAAGTTACTTCTTAAAAGTATTCATATTCCCTAGGAGAAGTTATTCACTCTTCTTTCTTGCCAATATGAAATGAGTATCACTGTAGAGATATTGCACCTCTAGATACAGTAACAGGACCTTTCAATAAAAATTACATTAAAAATAGTTTTATAAACATTTCTAGAAGTTCATAAATACAAACAGCCTTCAGCACATTTAGTAAACAGGCAATGAACAAAACCAACTGCAAAATATCCCCCCTGATTATAGGGCTTGTCATTACAGAAAAGTCTCTGGAAAGAACACCTAATTTTGAAGACATTCAAGTCAGTCTGTGTTAGCTCCAGTGGGACCATCACCTTCTGCAACATGATATGCAACAGCAGAGGATTGTTCTGAGGGGATGTTTTCTCCTGTATTCCAAAGCTCTTTTCACTTGGTCTTTAGCATCTCCTACATAGTCCTCAACATTTTGCATATTTATCTCAATAACATCAAAGGTGTCTGCCTGTTCCTCCACCAGCAGGGCCACCTGCAGAAAGAGCTCGTGAACTTCTTTAATGCGACCTTCCAGCTTCACCAGCTCCTTGTGCCGTGTCTCTATCTCATTCAAGGCTGCACGAGCTCCCTTGACATCTGACAAGAGATTCTCGGAAAAGACATCCCATTTGCCTTGCTCAATCATCTCCTCAATCTGGTGGCCAGAAACGTCTTTGCCCATGATCTCCAGCTGCCGCTGAATTCGAATCTTGCAGTTCTCCCGCTGGTTCATCTCTGCTGCATTGTAATCAAACATAGCGTCCTGAAATGTGTGCATGAGGTCAACATAGTGGTTCTTCGCCACCCTGGCAATGACAGACATAGCTCCATATTTTGTTATTGCATCTTCACAGAAATCTCTCATTACCTGCAGTTTCCTGTGGATGCTTTCTCCACGGCTCTTAATGTCTCTGGCAATACAATTAGTGTCTCGTTTGATGCTGCTAAGGCGGCGCATGGAGGTGAGGAAGCGGGTGTTTTGCTTTCTGAGACGGTTGACATCCGCTTTTAGGTGGTCATTTTCTGTCCGGATGCTCTGTATGTCCTTATGAAGGATTTCCAAGGCATAATCCGTCTCATAAAGGAGAATATCCTGGGGTGAATTTTCATCATCATCACTATCAGAGAACTGTTGGTTGTGTAACCTGGCAAATTCACGCAGCTCACTTAAACGGTCTTTCATCCTGCCTGTAAAACAGGAACAGGAGGAATGAGTTTGAAGTAACTAAAATATTGGTAAAAAGAGTAAAAAATTTGTAACTAATAGCTACATCATGGTGATAACTAAATCATAGATAACAAATGTAACTCATTAAAGATAACCCAAAATACTAGATTTTAAAGTTGTTCACAGTATTTTATACAGTGATGGATATCACATCCAAAACTCTGCTAGAACATTGTTCTAGAAGGTACAAGTTTAGAAACAAAACTGCGGGAAAGAAGACAACAAATCCTGAAGACAAATCAAAAACAAGAATAGGACAGCCCCAAACTCCCCACAAAATCCCAGTCTTTTACTTGGAGAGGAAAACCAGACTCCTGATAGTAAGCCTTCAGCTATCAGCATCTGTAGACATGTTTATTTAACTGAACACCTTCCACTACTGCTCACAAGAGAAATCTCCTCTAGCTTCTGATCCCTCATTACATCAACTGCCCAAAATGTCATGGGGCTTCTCTCATTCTAAGTTTGCTTTTCCTGGGAGAATACTAAGAAGCCTCTCAGAAACAGAAATGGCATTTACCGATACAGTTGGGAAAGAAAAGTTTCAAAAAATGCTGTAGAAAGTATCAAGATGGGAAAAAAAAAAAAGGAAAAAGGAAAGAAAAAGCAATTTTAGTGTCTCCAGATGCTATCATTGACCATAGAGTATCAGACATCAATAATTAGGGGTGTGGAGCATCTCTCTTATGAGGAGAGACTGCAGGAGCTGGGCCTATTTAGTCTAGAAAAGAGAAGACAGAGAGGATCTGATCAACACATAAATATGTCAAAGGCAGGTGCCAAGGGGATGGTGCCAGACTCTTTTCAGTGGTACCCAGCAACACAACAAAGAAAAACATCGATAAACTGAAACCCAAGAAGTTTCATCTCAACATGAGGAAAAACTTCTCTACATTGAGGGTGGCAGAGGCTGCCCAGGGAGGTCATGGAGTCTCCCTCTCTGGAGGCATTTAAAATCCACTGGACACATTGCTGTGTCACCTGATTTACATGACCCTGTCTTGGCAGGGATTTGGACTAAATGATCTCTATGGTCCCTTCCAACCCTAACAATTTTGCGATTCTGTGAACTTCATGCTTACCATTCCTTAAACTTAATAAAAATTATATATCATCAGCCTTCTACAGAGAGCATAGTAACAACTGGCTCAAGAATGACTTCACTTTCTGTTTGTGTTTTCTTTGCCAAGCAAACACTGAGAAAATCTCCTGTGTGATAAATTCATAAATTTGTACGAGTAGGTCTACCCTTTCTTCCCCAGGAAGAAATGGAGAAGCAAATACATAGTAATTCACAACATGAAAATGCTGTAGTAAATTCATGTGTATACTAATTCTGCAGCATGTCTAAAAATATTGCTTTTTTTCTTTCTTTTAATACAACAATAAAGGTTAAAAAGTCAAACATTTTAAGAAGATTAAGGAGCTGTCAAGTGTTGCCTTGGATTGCACCACAATGTTGCCTGGACACAGGAAGATCACGCAATTAAACACTGCCTGTGCACTATCACTTCCACCAAGTCTCTGCCTAGAGTCTGTATGTGCTGAATATAAGTTGTACAACATAAAATTTAATATTCATCATTCAGTTCATGCTATCTCATTGACTATGTTGTTAGTGTTCATTTCCTTGGGGATTTCCCTTGCAAAATCTGTGGAAAGTTCCATCAACTCCTACCAGTTGTTTGGGGAAAGGCAGATCTAACAGCCCCACAGTCAGGTTTCAGCCCAGAGTCATTAAGGACAATGGTGATACTCTTGGTAATTTACAATGCCCACTTGAGACACTTCAAGCACAATTCTTTGTACCTGGAATCTTCAGAAGTCAGTCCCTTCTGACTTCAGTCACTGCTGCAAGCCTCGAGCACTTTGCTGAGTCAGATCGCGAAGGAACAAGCTGGACATCAGGGAATGAGCACATGGATCAAGGCCACTTGTGAAGAGCTCCTCTCCAGTGCCATGGACAGCATCACACACAATCTCTGTGATCCAGCAGATCCAGTAGAGTCTAGTTGTAAGCAGAACAGAGGGATCAAGTTGCAGTTGCACTTACAATCTTCACCCTGGGTTTTCGCAGCTCCCAGTACTTAGTTCTAAAAGCCTACATTATTTGTATCTACATACCAAAACTTACGTTTAAGGTGGTCAACATTGCATCTTTTAGCTCTGCATTGAGGACCTGTATCTGTCTGGGATATGTCTCCACAGGTAAAGTGTTCATGCTTTTGTCCTAACAAATGGATGCCATCTATTTAAGTGTTGCCATCACTAACTGCTTAATGCAAGGCATTTTCCCTTCATGGAAATGTACAGCAATAGCACAAGATGCAACAGACTTACATGGAAACAAGAGAAGAGCCAGCCAGATATGAGATGGGGGAAAGGAAAAAAATAAGAAAATCCCAAATAATTAGAAGCCATGGAAAAGGTGCTCAGAAAAGTTTTGGAATCAGCATCCTTGAAGATATTTAAAACTCTACTTGACATAGCCCTCAGCAACCTAAACTGCCTGTGTGTGTTTTGAGCAGGCCTGGATTAGACAATGTTCAAAGGTCTGGTCTAAATTGTTCTGGTAATCAGCCTTAGATAAAAAGTTTGCTAAGCTGACCATAAACATTAAGTATATTCAACTACTTGCACAAGTCTATATAAGATACATCTAACACATTAGAATATCAAGACAGCAATTACTCTGGAGTAACAACTGCAAGTGTATAACTGCCTTAATTCTCAGAGTGTGAGGTTTAATAGATTAGGTGTCAGTTTTATTTTATTTTAAAATGCTATGTATATTCAAACTGAAACATGTACTTCCATATGTATTTTTGGGCTAGATAAATCTGTCCGTGTAAATATGAAGTTCCTTCTTCCAGTCCATCATGATGTATACACCCAAACACACCCACAGGAAATACAGGCTGGGTGATGACTGCAGAGGTTACAACTTTGGAGGCAGATACCCAGCAAGTACAGTCAGCTGAGGGCATGTTCAGTACTCATCTTTTCATGTTACTGTGCTCCTTACTGGTATTAATCACCACGGTGACAAGCTTTCCCATGATGCATGAGAAACATACAAATTGTCCTGTTGCAATAAGACTGAAGCCCCAGACAACTGTGTATGACATGAGATTTCAGACAAGAAAGAAAATCCACTCTAAAAATCAAAAACTATGCATGTGCATACACCCCCTTTCTCTTAGCCCCACATACATACAAAAGGGAGTCCTACAAACATTGCCTAACATTGCCATGCAAATGTTCTGAAGCCTGTTAACTATGTAGAAATAATCTAAGGATAAAAATTATTTCTATAGAAACAAGTGAATGACACACTTATGTTTATCTTATCTTTAATATTTGTATATCCACACTCTATCCCCATATGGGCTGTTCACCTAGGAGTTGGGCTCAATGATCCTGATCCTTCCAGCCCAGGAAGGATATTCTGTGATTCTGTGATCAGAGTCTGGGGACAAATGGTGAAATGATGAAGCAGTTTCAGCTCAGTATCCATATTTCATGGCCAGCTGCTGGGAAGGAAGGCAGTGTACATGTTTTCTTCTTGCAGCATTCATAAATTCAGCTGCTACTTAATACCATCTTGTGGCTTACCAAAAGTCTAGTCAGTAATCTTTTCAGCCTTGAGTAGGGCCTTACAAGATGAAGCTTTCACTTTAGTTGTTTGAGGAACAACAGATATTTCAAAACAAGTCAGTTAAAAATAATTCTGTCAGTAGTTCTTCTCGCCCTTGGAAGGTAAAAGGAACCCACATGGCTCAGGCTGGCTCTGAATGGCATGTGATTTTATCTCATGACACACCATAGACGTGACCCAAAAAACAAGTGGTGAACAATTAGGAAATAACCTGCTCTTAGGCAAAATTACTTCATAGCTAAGTATGTGTCAGCACATTTCAGTGACTTCCATATGGCTTGGAGAGCAGGTAGTATTGATGGAAATCTACTCAGATGGACTTGCTGAATTGAACACACTGCATTCCAAGGCAAATAGAGTGCTGCTGTTGCACTAGAATACAAGTCATGCATAGGTCAAAAAGTGTTAAATAGATTTGACAATATTAATTAACTTGGGAAAAACTCTTTTTTTTTTTTAACAGTAGGTTAAAACAGTAGGTTACTCATCTTTCCAGAAGAGTAATTGGTTTATAGCAGATTACTAGTCATCTTTTCAGTCCAAATTCCCTGTCTTCCCAACCATGCCCATCACAGGTGGCACAGCAGGCTTGAATTTTTAAAATTATTCATCTTTTTTTCTCTCTTCTCCACTGTAAGAGCCTGAAACAAAAAAAGTTATAATCTAATGATTAGGACAGCTTGCCTTCTCAAGCTGTTCTAAGATCACATATGTGTACTAACTCTAAGATTTACAACTATGACAGAGATCAGCAGTTCAAAATCTTTTTGTGGTCTCACTGAAAGGAAGTTATCCTCTCTGGAATTTTGTGGATTTCACAATGTTCAAAAATAGACAAAATGTATTCAGGAATGAAAATCCATCAGTTAACACTGAATGCCAGTTATAAAGCTACAGAAATCCATCAAGAAGTTGCAAGTGTATCTGAAGACTACACTACCCAGCTCATATGCTCATCAAAGCCTGTATACAGCAGAAAACCACCTTTATAATTTCCATCACCCTAGAGAAAAATATCTGCAGTTACAAATGTCTCAGGATATTATTTTTTCCCAAAAAATCCCTGTCCTGTGCCAGGACAAGTTATTTATTACAAGCTGATATATTCAGAGAAGTAGGAATGACTCCATTCTTTGCAGGTTACTTCTGCATCTGGCAGAAACTCCAAGTCTCCACTAGTTCCTTTCCTACCATAAAGTCTAGGAAAAACCTAGGGGGGGAAACTGATTCTGATTGTTGCCTCTAATTGAAAGAAATTAGGCAATAATTTCTAGAATATTGATAGCTTTGGAGGTTCTTTGACTATCTCAGTTTCTTTACCAGTATTCAATCTCTTCAACAGAAAAGAACTCTCAGTTTTTGTATGACAACATATTGTAAATTGAAGGATCTAGGGTGCATCTCGTACTTCTCAGATGTATTGAATACAGTAACCATCCTGGTGTTTTTTGTGGACTGGTTATCAGCTTTTCCAGACATTAGTATCAAAACTAGGAGACGCTGCTGGTGTGCATTAAATGCACTATAATATGCCATTTTTCACATATTTATTATAAGACTGAGAAAAAAATCTGATGTTTTAACTTGTAATTACTCAGTAGCCATGAGAGTAAACATTATTCTTGCATTGAAAAGGTCAGCTTGTTTTACATGGGTTGACTGCTACTATTTACTAGGTTGCCTAAATTTTCACTGGAGAGCTATGGATCACCACTGACAAACTTTCAATACTGGATAGATAAAATGGATTCTCAGTATCTGCTCTGGACATTTTCCTCACAAGTCACATAAATGAGCAATTTTAACTAGATTTGGTGTTGTTTGGGTGGGGTGGGGAGCAGAGGTAATGGGGCTATAGACAAAAAAAGTTTCTCCATCTTCACTGGTTTGCAAGGTCTTCAGGTAAAATTGGCCTAGATAGAGACAAGGGGAGTCTGAACTGTACCTCCAAGGGCTTGGCAAATGGTTAAGACAGATCCATAGCACTTAATATAAGCAGTGAGACAGCCATCTGTGCATTTCTTGGCAATTACTACAGCTCAGCATCATTACAGGTCACCATGCAGGGCAATCAGCCAACACAGTCACAGGCAGTGCTGGCACTACAGCACGAGAATATGCATTAGCTAATTAATCACCTCGCCTTCCCTGGAACACATTGGCTCAGCGAAATAGCTGTGCACATGCCACATGTATATAACTACTACTGCTACCACACTGTGGTATTTACAAGTGATTAAGACATTATGTTGGTATGCAAATAGAAATATGAAGTCGCATGTGATCATCAGTCAGAAGAAACAACTTCTACTGACGTTTTTAAATGAACTCAACTGCATTATTATTTGAAAAGCACATATATTTAAGGCTTGTGATAAAGTGTTACAACCTGAGACCAAGTACTCTTGACTTTAAAAAAATTCCTTTAAGGTTAAATACAGGGTGTTTCCTTGGTATTTGGTCATGTGGGCCAGTACACATGAGGCTCAGTTTGGGATTCTATTGCAAAATCTACACAACAGTATCTGCATCAAACTAGTTCCAGCCAGGAAATAACCCCTATAGCCAGCCACACATTCACACCCACAGCCCCAAGCCATGTCAGACTTTATGGTAGTTACACTACTTAGCAGCTCGTGGGTGTTTACAGGCCCATTCAAAGCACCAGTGAAGTTGAGACAAGATATAGATGTAATTAGGAACACACCTGATTGTGCATATCAAAAGCTCAAATAAGCTTTATTCTTGCTTTCAAAAATAAGTGAGTTGTCAATACCACAAAAACAGCAGAGAGAAAAGGCATAGCAGGAAAAGATGGACTATGAAGTAATTCCTTCACTTCTGTGAATAAGAGTTTGTTGAGAATAATCTGGGCAATTAAGGCGTTAATTGTTATAACAGATTAGGCAAAAGCTGCACACATGATAAGCCTTTGAAAGTCAAGATATATGACATCATTCTCTCTCTGATAAAACTAGTTGTAGTTTTATCTAGATATAAGTGCCAAGCACTGTTTGAGAGCTCGTGCTGATTGTGTAGAGTGTCTTGATAGCTCATCTAGCCTATCGAAGCACAGATAAAAACCAAATTGTTTCACTCCCCTCATGTAGAGCCCCCCCCACTACCCAACAGGGGGCTCCCAGGAGCCAGCCCTAGGCCAATCCCTGGGAATGATGTTCCTCACCAGAGTTGGTTCATGGCCACATCTTGGGGAGTAACCCAAAATGCAAGCATAACCAAAAATGGCTTCACTGCAAAAAGTGGTAACCCCAGATTTGGCATTGAGATGGGTTTACTGGATCAAGCTAACATTGTCTCAGTAACTTCTGCACCATACTTTCTCATCCTTGAACTACAGGAATGACCAGAGTCAAAGAAAATTGATGGGCCAGATAAAAGATAATGGAAAGTGTATCTGGTCCAGCATATTTGACACAGCAGTTGCCTTCTCATCATCAGAACTGGTTTTGAACATATCAGTATTAGGATAGGCATCTGTCACAGTCAGAGATTATCCATATTTTCCATTAGTGACTTGAAGAGTGAAACCAAACACGAGTTTGTACAGTCTCCAGGCAAACGGAACTGGGAGTAGAAGCAAGCGTTTGGTGAGGGCAGGGAAGGAGAAATTATGAGAATTTAAGGTGATCTTGACAGTAAGAGAAGAATTAACAAGAAGAAAGTGAAATTCAATATAGGCAAGTCTGGTACATTGAGATAAAATTATTCCCACAAATATAAAGTAGGAAACACCTAGTTTAGCAGCAGGAAGGCATTGGTGAGGTTATAGCTGATTGCAAGCCACAAAACAAGCTCACAATATAGGATCATTGTAAAAAACCCAAAACTTAATGTCTTAAATGAGAGATGGCTTGGGAAGGACTGGTTTTACTCTGCTTGGCATAGATAAGGCCTCAGTTGGAAAAGTTACATCCTGAAACAGTTATCACATTAGGAAAGTCAAAGGGAGCATATTTGGCATATAATTGTCTCCAAACATTTTGGAAAATACACTCCTGGAGAAAGAGGAGCAGAAGGAATTATCCTCATTTAATTCAGAAGACCAGGGAGGGAGAGATAGTACTCCAAGACATAAAAGGAGATTTCTGTGGAAAGGGGGATGGTCAGTTTGATCCCTGTGTTGACACTGGAAACACACAAAGTAATCAATTTCTTTCACAAGGCCTATGTTGAACTGGCTGTCGTTGCTGAAAATTAGACCATTTCTCTGTGGAAGCACTGTGGGACCTTCTTCCTTGACAGAAAGAGAGAAGATTCAGAAAGCCCTCTCAGGCCTGCTTGAGGTGCACAGCTCCAGTGCACCAAATGGATAAAGAAATGTCTTACAGTCCCACAGTGGCCCTGCATTCCCAGGATTTGTTCCATGCCCTCATCCCCAGTAGTCACTGTGGGTCCAGCACAAAGTGTTTGTCCACAGAGAGCTGCCCATGCTGGGGAGAAATTTAGGTGACTCTTTTCATGCAGCAGATTATTTTCCTTCTTGATTATTTATGCACCAGTGGCAACTACCATTTCTCCTTCTGAAGCAGGTCTTGGTTACTGTTAGTGTTAGTATACTGTTAGTATAGTGATGTCAGACATGGAGCCTAATCCCACAGCACCCAAATTCTCCAGCACTGATAGAGCATGCAGTTGCATTCCATAGCATCATGTTTATCTGCAGTGCCCAGGAGGTACTACATTTTACTCATTTTAATGTCTCAAGAGATCTGTACCATGCTTACTTTTGTCATGGAGATGTCTTTCAACAACAGAGTGTAACTTGCAGTTTTAGCCTCAGCCAAACCACCAGATAACATATGACTGAACACGCAATTTCAGTTTCAGAGCACTGGGCATACAAGGCAGTCAGAGAAAAAAGGTCATCAGAGGAGCTGGGCACCTAAACCAACCTTTCCTAATGATGACATTTATTCTGTTCATTTGTTAGACCTCTGGTCTATTTTGAATTAAAAAAAAAAAAATTATGGTCATCTTGTAGTCTCACCACTATTTAAATAGTATCAGCAATGATAAGAAAACATCATCATTCAAATTGTATTCTTATCCTAAAAAGTCATAGTTTGCCATTTTGATACCTGACAGCTTAAAAGACAGTTGCTAAAATACACTCTAAAGAACAGGAACAAGAAGGGCAAGTGTCCGTTTTTGGCCAGTGCTGTTATTCTAGTCATTTCCTTTCTCAGTATCAGAGTGACATGTAGTTATCTCAGACATTCACGAGGGCCAGTTCTTCTTGGTAGGAAGGAAATGAGTATCAATTTAATCGGAAGCAATCAAAGAACACTAACTTTTGCACCCACTTCTAGATCTGCCATGATAACACTCAAGAATGAAGGAAAAGCTATCATATTTTGCATTTAAACCAATTTTCTGTAAAATCTGCTGCGGAGCTATTCATAACCATGTATGAGCACTATGAATAAAATGTTAATACTCGTTAAGCCAGACAAACAAGGCAGTGGGAATGCAGACATATATTTGAAAGTGCCTCTGTTTTTCTCTCATCCTGTGAAAACCCAGCCATCCCTTTTGTATTCCATGAGGACCAGGGCTAGGAACCTTCGGACCCAAAAGCCCAGTCTGCATTTCCTATCATCTCTCCTGCCTCCGGGTTTCACACTTCGCCACTCGACTCAAAAGGGGCAGTTTCCTCTACTCGTAGGCAAATCCGAGGTGCCGAGGGCCCCGCACGCCCCGACAGCCCGGGAAGGGGCGGCTAGCCCGGGCTCCCAGCACTGCCCTCCCTCCGGCAGCAGCTCCGGGCGCCTCGGCGTCCAGGAATTCCAGCTGATGCTCGGGAATACGGCTGTGCCCCCGTCCCGGGAGCCAGCACCGGCTGTGCCCGGGGCGAAGAAACCAAACCCTGCGTGGTCCCCGAGGAAAGCGCTGTCTCGTCCTCCCCCGTCTCGGCAGGTACTCACCCCTGGGCAGGGCAGTCCGGCCGCTCCTGTATCGCTCCGCCCGCGCCGCTCCCCGAGGTGCCGGTGCCGCTCCCCGAGGTGCCGGGATCGGAGGTGCCGCTCCCCGAGGTGCCGGTGCCGGTGTCGGAGGTGCCGCTCCCCGAGGTGCCGGTATCGGAGGTGCCGCTGCCCGAGGTGCCGGTGTCGGTGTCGGAGGTGCCGCTCCCCGAGGTGCCGGTGTCGGAGGTGCCGGAGGTGCCGGTGTCGGAGGTGTCGGTGTCGGAGGTGCCAGAGGTGCCAGAGGTGCCGCCGCAGAGCCCGCGCTGTCGAGGCGAGCGCTCATCCCCGCGGAGCGCCCCGCCCCTCCGGTCGGCTCGCCCGCCTATTGGCTGCGAGGGCCTGATTTGCATGGCGGCGCCCCGCCCCCTCCCGTGCCCGTGGGAAGATGCGCGGTTCGCGTCGCTGCCCAGCGCGGGGAAAGTCCGTCCCGTGGGTGCCGGGAAACGGGGGCGCGGTGAACTGGCCCGTCTCTTCGCCATCGTCCCCGTGGACCTCCCCTGACCTTTCTTGGCCTCGCCTCCCCGCCGGCAAGCGGGGGCTTTCCGACTCTGTGATTCTGTAATTCAAATTGCCGCTGCTTAGTGTAAGGAAGATGCGCTCTTCGCGTCATGTTTCAGTTTGGGTCAAATTAAGTCCTTTTTTGCGTTGTGACTTCCTGAGGGAAAAAAACCCAACAGCTTGCCCATCATTCTAACTGAAAAAAGCCTAACAAAACTCTGGCGTCGCAATGTTTGGTACATGGTAATCATACACATTAATTAGCTACACAAGTAGTCATAGAGATTGTTCAGGTCTTTCTGAAATGGAAAGCTTTTGCTTTTCTTGAAAATCTTGGACATTTGGTTTTTTTCTCCTTTTCATCACAAAGCTTGAATGTAATCTGAATCTGAAAATTTTTAAATATAGAAGTTACTTTTTTGTTGGTGCTGAGAAGTAGCTGAAAGAGCAGCTGTGCTTTCCCAAGCAGTCATCAGTTATAAGGCTCAAAAACTTCTTACATTGCATCAATCCCACCCTGGGTGACCAAGAATAAATTCTGTCACAATGGGGACAATTGCAGAGATGTAGGAAGCTTCTTCCCTCCTTATTTTCTATGCTGGTTTTGTGTCAGGAAAAAAATATAAGTAAAAGGAATATATTTGAGGTTTTATGGCTAAAGGTTAGTTAAAAATATACGTGACAGAAAGGCTCTTTTACCTTGAAAAATCTAGCACTGCTGTGGGCACTTTGCTGGGACTTTTCTCTTAGACCTTGATGCTGGAGACAAATTTAGGTGCATGGGTCTCAGCAGTTCCCTAAAAGCACCTAAAGGCATGGAAGTGTGAGTGGGTTTTCTCTTCCGGGCTGCTGCTTTGTGAGACCAGCTGCAGCATCCCCACTGGTGGGCAGGCAGTTTTCTCCTTGCCACTGGACCGCAGAGAGCAAACGGGCCTTTAGTGTTGTTTGGTGCTGTTAATGCAGGCAGAGCTAGAAAAAGAGCTGTAATGTCATGGGTAATCAAAGGTACAGGCCACTTTGTGTGGCATGGAACAACAATTACAAACTAACCTGCTGCTGTTGCAGCACAGGCAAAGCTATGGGTGCATTGATTGATGTGTCTGATGATCCTGTCAAGAGCAAAATGCTCATGTAGAAACATCTGATAGAAACATCTGATATCTTCCCTGTAATTTAGGATATGGAGGATATGGAAAACCAAAGAGATGACTGTCAAGCCTCCCCTGCTTTGGGAGAGACTTCAGTAAAAATGTCAGTAGCTGAGTAGCAGGCAAGGAAGCAATATTGTTAAAATATTAGTCTTCTTAGAAACTAATGGAGAGTGAGAGAAATTTATTATTTCTACAGATTTTGCCACCTAGATGAGATGAGGCTAAAAAAGGTGCAAAACTCTAATAAAAATCTTTCTAATTAAGCTACAGAAATAACTAGCTAAAAAAAAAATCACCATTGCCAAACAAGTGTCCTCAAGTTCTTGAGTGTATTATGTTGCTCGATCTTACAAAATGTGTCCATTTGCATGGTGTTATAAGAAACAAAACCAGATGAGTCATATGAAAAGATTGTTCTGTCATCATATGTACCAAAGATACTTGTTTTGGGTTATTATGCTCATTTCAATCTCTTCTGAAATAACATGAACAGTGTAGATTGATAATGGAAATGTTTAGACAGAGAAAAGTGATTTTCCAAAATAAGAGATAAAGAATTTTCAGTCTTTTAATCTTATTCTCCTGTGAGTCCTGAGCAGCATTACATACCAAGCTACAAAAGTAATTTGGTATTTTTTTTTCACTTTCTGCTATCTCTTATTATAAGAGAAACACTTTGTAGTTTACCAGTGAAAGTAAATACTCAATTTACATAGATAAAGTCAGAACTCATTAGTATTGGGATCACAGATGCCAATAAGTTTCTAAAGGAGTTTAGGCAATATAAATGTACAATACATCTGCAGACAGCAAGCCTCTCTTTCAGTTCTTTTTTCTTTTTCCTGAAGAGCTGTTGCATTTTTTTTCCCTTAAAGACTTCTAATCCTGACCTATGTCTTGAGTGATTGCTTTGAATTAGCCAGGTTTTGCTTCCAGTTCTCTCATCTCTAGAAAGAGGACAGGCATAATTACTTTCAATTCTCATAAATGTGTAGTGAAAAGCAATATATAAATGAATTGGACTCTCATGTATGTTAAAATACCATAAGGATGTGTCTGATTTCAAGGACAATTCACTGCATGAGAGAGACCCATCATCTTTCTGCTCCGGTGTGTGATGCTTCTAAAGATATTTCCAGCCAAGAAATTGAGTTTCTTCCAAAGCCCAAGAAATTAGAAATTATGTGGACATGTAGATTTCTCTTTGCTACCATTGACCAACATCTCAGGGCATCTGGGAACTCTGGGTAATGCCAATTTTTTCACCGGGCAACTTACATACAGGTGACATACAGAGCCCTGTTTTCCTGGAGCTTATCCATCTCTAGAAAAGCAGTTTGTGCCCATAACATCTGTACTAGTTTCAGTATGAAGTTGTAGTAGTGCCAATCTATAATAATAGACACTTGTGAAACGTTTAGCTAAAACCAGAGCAAATTGCTACCAGTTCAGTTGTGTATCCTGGAGCCAGTTCTCAGACACATAAAATTCACATATACTTTTCTGCATGTGCAGTACATATAAGCCTCTTCTAAGCTAGAATCAGATCTGATGTAATCTAGCTCATACAGATTAAATTAAAGTAATGATTCATGGTCCTGGACAATTCACTTTTTTCTTCTTAACCTCATGGATCAGTAGAGTCATTCTGACAGTACATGATTTATCAATTGCCAAGATGAGTTGAAGGGAGGCACCAAAAGATTGATGCTAGAAATTTCTTTAACTATATTCATTTACCAGAGAAACTGAGTCTTCAGCTGTGATACTTCCAGCTTGAGAAAGGTCCAACATTCCTGCTCTGTCTTTTCACATTTCATTGTAACCTCTCACAAAAGCTACTGATGTTACAGAACAACTTCATCAATGAATCTTGCTGATGTAAAGAGAGTCTTCTTTGCTACATGAGGAATAGAGTGCTGAAAAGAATTCAGAAGCCAAGTATCTCCACAGGTAGCTAAATCCACCTTAATTCTTTGTTGAAGCCCATGGAGATACTTGGATTTACATAGAGATAACATAGTGCTCTAGGTACTGAGCCCTGCAGATGTTTTTCTTTTTGCTTTTCTTTTTTCCCCTTCATTAGGAAGGAAGACGAGTGCTACAAAGGATGAAGTGCTGAAAGCTGTGCAGATGTAATTGCTGTGGAGTCAGAGGATGCCCTGTGCCAGGGCCTTCTCTCTTGCTTATTTAGGAAAGGATTTAACATTCTTCTCCAATTATGCCCCAAAGGCATGTGAAGCCAGCCCTGGGTGTATTGCCCCTGAATTCCTTGTGAACCTCAACTTGGCACTCATGTATGGCTCTGAAAGTTCATTACCCAAACACAAGTTCTTAATCTAGTTATGGCTGTATCAAATGCCAGATTGGATGCATGGGAAATAGCCCTGGGACTTCTGTTGACTTCAGAGACGATGGCAGGTGCCAGCATGTTTTGTTAAGCTAGTGACAAATAAATGAACAAATTCAAAATGTTTTCAGAGACGGATGTAAACACACATGGTTAACTGGAGCCAATGGAACAGTACTGATTTCTGGGAACTGAAGGCTTGGTTGATTATCAAGTAAGCCGCTGAATTTCTCTGTTGCTGTCACAGCTTTTGAATGCAAGAGCATAGCCCATAGGTCACATCAGTTCGCCTAATGAGAAGTTTTACCTAACCCTGTTCCTGTACTTCAGTAAAGGTGTGTGTTCTAACTCCTGTTATCAGACAGGGGTGAGGTATTTTTTTTCTCCTGCACATTTGCATGCCCAAAGACTGAGATCAGTTAACTTCTGGAGTACAGGGAGCATTTTGCAACCTGTCAGAGCAGAGACAGGGACATCTTTATGTGATTCAAGAGGGATACAAGGGGAGGAAGGCACATAGCAGGCACTCAGATTTGGGTATAGTCGCAGTAACAGCAGATTCTCGGGCAAGTTCATATTGACAAAAAATACATGCTCTATTTTTAGATAAATAAATTTTTAGATAAATAAATTAGATAAATAAATTTTTGCAACCTGATAAATCATCACTACTCTCTGAGCAGAAAATGGCCAGGTTGTATATTAGGTGTGATTAGGTATGAAGGCAGAAGTACCTGGGCAGTAATAAAAAGGGTTGGGTTTCCCCCCCTCCAAGGTTAAAAGCCTGAGATGGCTTAGAAGGGTGAGGCAAACAGTAAATAGACCTTCACAAAGAGAGCTATTGCAAAATGAGGACATTTCCATAACTTTTTTGAAACATCCTTTTCATATTAGTCATTCATTGAAAAGGTGTTGCTTTCTAAAGCTCACCAAGTTTTGATGAAATAAAACAATTCTATCCTAGAATTGTGTGAACATAAATTTTATACAGCCATGTAGATGGATCACATTATTCATGCTGCCAGTACTTTTCAACAAGCATTATAACACCCAGAAAGTGGTGGGGGAGCCTGCCCAAAGTGCACAGGGAGTTCCTGTCCCATGCAGACTACCTTCTTCTGAAGGCATGCTGCACATGTGGAAACCTTTCAGGTGGC